TCTTAGTCTACCTGTACTAACACACAAGAGAACAACGTTGCACTGGCCAGAGCAATACAAGTAAAGTAAGAAAGGGAAATAAGAGGCTTGAACAGAGACTACAATTCTCTCAACTGGACCAACTCCACAGTAAACAGAGACTTTCTCAATTAATAATTTCTTACCTTTTGCCCATTATTCACATTATTTGTTTTCAAAATAACCTCCACATTCTCAAAGTTTTTCATCTACTCAGCTCTTTCTAAAACCCAAACAAAGTCCATTCCCATCGAGTCAATTCAAACTGGTAACGACCCTATAGGACAGAGACAGACTGCCCCCCTGGACTGTTTGGGACTGTCATCTTTACAAGAAGACAGATTATCAGACCCATCAGGCTAGTGGCTTCAAACCACCAACCTTTCTGTTAACAGCAGAGTGCTTAACTGCTGCATCACCAGGGCTCCTTTACATCTATACATTAGGTGAGAATTGATTTGTTTACCTACTTTTATTCCTTACAAACCCAAGCATAGATGAACAATGGAATTAACATAGTCCCCTCACTGTCCGGCCTGAATCCCACCCAAAAGTAAAACGACGATTTCGGTGAGGCGCACAATCTTTTTATCCAGTAGAGGCACAGCTTCCTTCTGGCTTTTTCAAAGACCGAAAATAGCTTCTGCACTCCCACTGTGACCTCCCCAAAATCCTTCTGGGAGTCTCTGGCCTAATGACCCAATTTCCTTTGAATTCCATGTTGTTCTTGGAAGGAAAGGCGGAGAACATGCACTAAGACAGTGATGGGTTACGGCAGTGGGCAGACTACTGAGGCAGGAGGTTTCCGTGAACTTTTTGTCCCAGGGCAAAAGCCTTCCCCTTTTCAAAGTTATTCTCGTTTTATCTCCATCTTTCCTCCTTCCCGCCCTCCTTTCTTTTTTCTTTCTTTCTTTTAAATACATCATGACCTCTGTGAGTTGCCATCTCCAGTGTCGGGATGGACAGAGGTCCACGGACTTACTAGTGGCCAAAGCGGCAGTGCAGGGCAGCCAGGTTCAGCGCAGCGTAGCGTAGGCTCCGGCCATAGCCCTCTTCCCCGTTACTTTTGCTCTCAGCTCCGGTCAGAATCAGGCGGTCAAAATAATGGAGCAGGCTATGTGTAGAACTGAACACGTCTTGGACCCGGAGATTGTTTAGGTAGCTGAGATAATGCTGAAACAAGAGAGAGAGAGAGTCCATGGCTTCAGCATGGCTTCAGTGTTCTACTTCCTCCTGTGTTGGAATAGCTATAAGCACCCCCGCCCCCTCCCAACAAGGCGGTCAGAGCTTAACTTCCGCTTCTCCACACACAGGGAAGAGAACACGTTCCAGATGCATTGGCTTGGCTCAGGTCCCTCTAGGGGGAGTCTCCAAATGAAACATGGGAATGTGGTTAGAACATGTAGCAGTTTTATCTCAGGTGCACACTACGGCTCTAGGTACATTAGCACCTGTGGGCGATACCTGAGGGGGCAGGAACCTACTTAGTTAGGATACAAAGGCATATTGTGAGGTATTTTTTAAATAAAATCCATATAGAAATTACGACATTAATTTTTCAACGTAAAGCCCAGTGAAACTTTAACTAGCTTGCTGAGTTCAAGTGATTCTAATTTGACTCTTTTCTCATTTTAACTCATAGGAAAAAACTTTCTTTCTAATGCAACCATCCTAGGGACGAAGAAGCAAAGTCCATCTAGTTCTACAGGTGGTAGAATCAGGTGTCAAATGTAGGCACAATGAAGAAAGCTTCGGGATTAAAACAAAGAAAGATAAACTCCTGTAAGCAAAGGTGTTATTGGAGGAGGCACTGTCAGAGAGGGGTGAGGAACACAACTGTTTGGCTTCAAAACCTTTCCACCTACTGGGGTAGAAACAGTGGACTTCAGAGTATCAATGGCCATGACAATGGCCCAAGGCTGGATGACAGGACAGTTATATTCTGTTGTACAAGAGTCACCGTGGGTCAGAACCAACTCGATGGCAACTAACAACAACAACCTCTAACTACCAGCCCATAGAAAGTGCTAGAGGTCGAGAAAGAGATCCAGGACCACGATGAAGAAGCTATGAGCTGAATCTGGAATGTCGGAATTGCGCAGGATAAATGACCCTGCCCCTTTAACAAATAAATAAGATGGAGATCTATCACAGAATAAAGAGAGACTTCAAAACATCAATCAATCGCTCAATCAGCCTGTTCTCTCATGTCCTGTCTGTACTTAGCAGCATGAGAGGGATGGTAAATGAAGAATATCAATACATCTACAAAGTCACTAGGTACCAGAGTGCTCAGCAACCAATGCCAAGTTGTTTACTTGCCAACAACACTATTTCTTCCAAGAACCCAGACAAATAGGCCAATCCTCTTTTGCATGACCAGATAACATTAAAAAAACAAACAAAAATACAACCACTCAGCCACACCTTCTAAAAGACTCACCGCCTCAGCAAAATCAGGATTGAATTTCAACAGGTTGTTCAGTTCTTTCTGCAAAGACGCTGGTGTGAGGGCTTTCGTCTCATCGTTCTTTAACAAAGAAGCCTGAAATTTTAAAATGACCAATAAATTACTGGAAATGTACACTGAGTGGCCTCACCTGAATTCTTTTAGGCAGCAGTCTCAGATACAGTGAGCCCTTCTCCTCTCAGCCACACACAATGCCAAGTCCGCGTCCTGAAAACACCACCCACTTGACGCCCCTGGCTCATCCTTCAGGCCCCGATTTTGCCTCCATCTCCTCCTTCTATGACCGTCTAATCTAGGTGGCTCTCTTTAGCCCCTGCATACTCCCATACACCCCTCTATGTGCTTTGCTGTGTTACCTTCTCTTAATTTACAATAAAAAAATCTTTGAACCTGTGATTTATTTATTATTAATTAGGTGGAAGGACAGGTTTTTTAAAAGAAAAAAAAATCAGCTACTCTCAACTGAAAGTAAGTGTTTTGAAAATGATGATGGCAACATAGGTACAAATGCACTTGGTACAACTGATGTATGGATTGTTATAAGAGCTGTAAGAACACCCAATAAAATGATTTCTAAAAAAAATAATAAAATCCGCTACGGAGAGCTCTGTGACACAGCCCACAGTGACAGTGGGTCAGCATGAGTCAAAATCAACTTGACAAGCTCTAGTAAGATGATGGGTAGCAACTTCAGTGATTCCGTGCTTTTCAGCACCCACTCTTTTCTTGTTGGTCAGGAATGGTATGGAATGACAGTTCTCGCAAGTACTTGTAATGTGTTACGGATTTTTTTTTTAAATAAGCAGGCCCAGGTGCTGAACAAATTCCATTCCTAAATCTGTCATTAAGTTAAATTTGTATGTGAGACTGAAGACTAGGTATGGTGAACATCTAACTCACTATGTTTGTCCTAATATGTAGCATATAGAGAGTACTTTTCTATACATAAAGGAGGCCTGTTGGAGTAGTGGCTATATGTTGGCCTGCTAACGGCCAAGTTAGAAGTTCTAAACCACACTCTGCTCTGAGGGAGAAAATTATGCTTTCTACTCCTGTAAAGTGTTACAGTCTCCGAAACTCAAAGGGGCAGTTCTGTCCTGTCCTATAGGGTCTCTATGAGTCGGTATTGACTTGATGGCAGTAAGTTTGGTTTGGGTTTTATATATAAATTACACTAAGGAAACACTGTTCCAGATACATACACCCACACACACATCCCACAAGTTACAGCCTAGATAACCCCATGGGGCAGTTCTATTCTGTCACATGGGGTTAGCATGAGAATACCCTGTATCTTATGTGTATACATATGAGCACTCTGATGGCCCAGTGGTTAAAGAAGTTGGCTGCTAACAAAAAGGTCAGAGATTCAAACCCACCAGCCACTCCATGCTTCTATAAAGATTCACATCCTTGGAAACTGGGGCAGTACTACCCTGTCTTAGAGAGTTGCTGCGAATTAGAATAGGCTTGATGGCAATGAATCATTTTAATTCTCACTCCTACCTAATACTACACTGTGAACTGTACGTTATAATCACTCATTTAATAGACATCTTTTGTGTATGTGGCAAAAGATTAACCCTGACTGTCAACACTTTTTCCATTTGGTTCTTCACCTTGTAGAGTAAAACCTAAGAGAACCAGAACTGGATGAGATGGTATTGATTTTTTTGCAGTTCCCAAATTTCCTACTTTGACAGGGTGCCTCTTACCACTCTCCTACTGCTCCTGACAGTGGGGGATTTTTCACTTTTCCTTCTCTGACAAGCTTCTGCCTTACATGGTTTCTGGCTGTGGCAGGATCATTATCATTTAGCTAGAACATATTCTGACTTGGGGTGAGGGGGGTGGGGGGTTGAGGAGTTCTTATTTCTAGGCAGTAAAACCAAAGAATCTCCTCCTCCTCCTCTCTCTCTTCCATGTTTCCATCCTCTACTTCAGTTCAAAACTTCTTTTGCTGCCCCAAGATCAGTATAAAATTCCTGGTAGCTCCTTCAAGCCTAATCCAAACACATTCACTGAGTGGAAGTTTAGTAAGGAACCAGCTTTGATTTTTCCATCGTCAACCAAATGTTGAAACCAGACCCACTACGACTGAGTCAATTCTGACTCCCGGTGGCCCGGTAGAACTGTCTCATAGGGTGTCTGAGGCTGTACATCTTTACAGGAGCGGACAGCCTCATCCTTCTCCTTCCAAGAGGCCAACAGGTATGAACCACCAATCTTTTAGTTCACGGTCCAATACTTAACCCAAGGATGCCCCGTGTCCTGTCCCCCATGTCTATAGGGGCTTTTCTAATCCATTCAAAATCCATCCGCAGAAGTGATCCAATCACTTGTACCAAAAAAATCAAACAAAAAAATCCAAATCCAATGCTGGCATTAACATAGGCAACATGGTGCTGCAAAACAAAGCATCTAGTTCAAGAGCAGCAGCCAGAGTATTGGGGGATGTCAGGGCCGTACGGTGGGTGCCCAGAGCTCCCTCTGACACCCGCCAGTAGAGAATATTGCATGGCAGGTGGGGAAGGGTCTGAGAAAAGTGAGTACAGCAAAACAGCTAAGGCAGGAGTCAGGCAAGGGGGCACCTTGGAAAACATGACACCAGGCCTTTCAACTACTTCCTGCTTGGAACTGTCCACACTGAAATGTCAGGGGAAGAGAGACAAGTTTTTTTGTTTTTAATTGGGGGCTCTTACATCTCTTATCACAATCCATATATATATCCATTGTGTCAAACACATCTGTACCTATGTTGTCATCATCTTTTTCAAAACATTTTGTTTCTACTTGAGCCCTCGGTATCAGCTCCTCATTTATTTCCTCCCTCTCCCCACCCTCCCTTCTTCATGCTCCCCCTTGCTAATTTATAATTTTTTCCCCCATGTCTTACACCGACTGCTGTCTCCCTCCACCCACTTTTCTGCTGTCCATCCCCCTGGGAGGGGGGCCATACATCGATTATTGTGATTGGTTCCCCTTACTCCACCCCCTTTTCTTACCCTCCTAGTATCACTGCTCCCCTTATTGGTCCTGGGGGGTTTATCTGGAGAAACAAGTCCTTTAAGTTACATGTTTTTTAACTGGGCTAGCTAGTTACCATTGTGAAGTGAAACTGCATCATCCCTTTAATAAACACAATTTTTGTTCAAGTACATGAAAGAAGGGACACAGAAACACAGTTGGCTGGTTGGTGAAGTAAAGAGGACCAAGCGTCAGGAATCAAGAACCCAACCCACTGCCACCAAGGGTTTCTGAGGATGTCGAGAGCTTGATGGGAACAGACGGTGTCCTCTTTCTCCCACAGACCAGTCAGTGGGCTTGAGCTGCGGGTGCCATGCCTAGCAGCCCAATGCCGATTGGGCAGTGCCCCCAGGGCTCCTTAGAGTCCGTCCAGGATAACAGAGTAACTCATGATGGCCTCAGAGGCCCTTTCAGTGCCATGGGATCCAAAAAAGAACTTATGATTAATTACACAATTAATATACCTGCTGAGACAGAAAAACTTCTGCTTGCTTTTGGGAAAGAGGTCCACTGCAGGATACTTCTTCTTCTCTAGAAAAAAAAAAAAAAACCACCCAAAAATCACAATATTGAAGAGTTAAGCTACACAATAGCAAAAATGTTCACACAAAGTCAAGAGTAGAAGAGTTCAAAACTTTAAAAATTGACTGTTTTCAGAAATGGAAAAGACATACTTAAAATGGGATGGTAATATCCCCAATAAGACTGGGACTGAACTCACCCCCGAGGACCAACTTTCAGCCAGAGGATGGCCTATAAGGTGACCAGGAACACCAGAGAGGTATGTGCTCCTTAGAAGAACCCACCGTATGAGGCCACGAGGGCAGCACTGGGCCACAAACAACACTCAGAAGGCTGAGGGTTGAAAGGAGGACAAACGGGTCAAGGAACCCAGGGAGGACAAGGGAAGAGTGCTGCTACTTTGAGGGACTTTAAATCGATGTCATGAAATCAAATAGGTACACGCTGTTGAGTGGAAAACTAATTTGCTCTGCAAACTGTCACCCAAACCACTATAAAAAGTTTTTGGCGAATGATGTACAGATGCGCTTTACACAATTGATGTGTGTATGGATTGCGATAACAGTTGTATGAGCCCCTAATAAAATGTTTAAAAAAAAAAAAGTTTTTGGGTTTTTAAAAATGAGATGATAAATGACCAGCCCAAGTTCCTGATCAATATGGCCAGACAGAGTGCTGAGTCCCAAGACGCTTTCAGCACGATCCTTTCCAACACAAGCCTATCACGATACCCTGACCGGAAGTCCTCCAGAATCGAGCCCACGCTGTGGACTTAGCACAGCGAGCTACGTCAAGCCTACCCTGGAGGTCCCACCTCTCTTTGTCCTTTTTGCCCACCCACACACCACTCCTGACGATCTTCTCCCAGTGCTGCTTCCACGGCTCACAAAGCCCACTTTCCCAGCCCTTCTTGGACAGTTGGATACCGTCCATCTTTCAATCGTCCAGACCCCAAGGCCATCATGTTGATTCCTACTCACAGTGGCCTTAAAGGACAGAGCTGAGCTGCTCAAAAGGGTATCCGAGGCTGTGATCTTTATGGGAACAAAGTGTGACACCTTTCTCCCAGAGCTAGCCTGTTAAGTTTAAACAACCCGTCTTCTGGTTAGCAACCTAACGCTGTACCCACTGCACCAGCTTGGCTCCCTCAGCATCCTATCTCCTGTGTCACCACTCACTGAGCTCATTCGGCTACAGATGCCCTTGGACAGACCCCTGCTGACCCTACCCGTGCACACAGCAGGCACTGAAGGTGTGAGAAATGAAGGCAGTTAGTCTAATTCCTCGTGCCAGGGAAAAGCAGGAACACCTGGGGAGTGGGCTATCAGCAGAGCTGGCTGCATTTCTTCTCTGAAGAAAAGTGAGCTAAACACATTCCAATCACAAAGTGAAAGAAAAAAAGGACCAGGACTACACTAAGAAGCTTCTGGTCATGTGATAAAACGCCAGAAAATAAATCACAGAGAGAAAACAATGAAATTTTCACCTTTAAGTAAGTCAAGAAATACACATTTGAAGGCTGAGAGAAAAAATGGGAGGGGATTTCATGGCTGTGAGCCCACCTTTGACAACTGGTCAGTATACATTTCACCACCTGGTTTTGAATAAACAAGGACATGTATGTGGTGTATCCGATTCAACACAAACATAAACAACTTAATAACAAGTAAAACTGTCTTTTTAGACAAAAAAAACTGTAATATTTAATTTGAATTAGTTACCAGAAAAACGCTATAGACACTTTGATCTAAGTGATACATTTCTTTCATTTCAATGATGAAATCCAGACCCCTGTATAGACATTATTTTCTAAAACCATCCACCTTCACAGTAAAGATACTGGATGAGCCTCAAATCAGACTGATCTGAAAGAAAGGCAACCCAAAATTGGAAAAGTCTGAATTTTAACAAGTTTCTTAAGAAGTGACATTTTACAATGTTCACAAAGTAGCTACAACAGGCTTGTACGACCTATATCTCACTATTCCACAAGGTCGGCGATTTGAGCGTGCTAGCTGCTTCACAGGAAAAAGATGAGGCTGTCTACTCCTTTAAAGAGTTACGGTCTCAGAAACCCACAGGGATGGCAGTTCTACTGTGTCCGGCAGGGTTTCCGTGAGTCACAATGGACTCGGTGACAGTGAGGTGGTGCAGGTTACTGCTCCCTCGAGGAGCCCTAGAGGCACGCCGCCATTAAGCTCCACCAGCTGCTTAGCAAGAGAACGACGCATGGCTGTTAGCTTCTGCAAAGATCCGCTCTGCCCTCTAGGGTCATTATGAGTCAGAATGACCTTGACGGCAGTGGGTGTAATTTGGGATTTTTTTATTCTTCTTCACTTACCGACCAACTGCCTCATGATCTGACATTTCATCTACTCCTTGGCCACCTTGCACCTCAATGACATACATCTGGCAGGAACAATTGCAGAGGCGTGAGGCAAGAGTGAAGAGGGCTCTGATGGCCATGGTGATATACCAACTTGTCTCAGCTGTGGTTCTGAGAGTTTAGCAGTTAGGTAATCTGATACTGTGATCTTTCATTTCCATACTGATTTTCACCTATCAACCTGGTCTTTGAAATCTAACCATGTGGATAAGTGAGGAGTGGATATACTGCCTAGAAGCATTGTTTTTAGAGGAATTAACTAAATAAGATGGTGACAATGATGATATGATCAGAAGACTGAATGATGAGAAAGCCCATGTGTATCAATTTCTGGACAGAGGTGCTGGTGGTGAAGGGAAGGTGTGCATCAGAGAGCCAGCAAATGAACTCTGATGAATGGAGACAGGCTTGTAGGAAGCACACTACTTCCCAAGTCAGAGGCCCCTGGAAAAGGAAAGGGACTCCTGGCGGAAAAACCTCAGTTACCTGACAGATACATCGAGCTCCTCTTTCTCCATCTTTCTTTCGCCCTCCTCTCTATTTGTCAGTTCCATATCCGAATCTTGCACTGTCTTTTTCTCACCATTTTGGAAGTACTGTTGAAGGGCAGTGTAGAGTTTAAACACTTGACTGAAAGAAAGCTTACTGTAGGCCAGAATCATATGACGTAGAAATAAACCTACAAAATAAGAAATGAACCATGATCAAAGCATTAACTGAGAAATAGGCTACCTGGTGTTGATGGCTATCTGCTGCGAACTGAAACAAGGCACTTTCTGTTGCTGTCTCTACCGCTGATCTGCTCTCGCTGATTCTGCAGAGAGCTGGTCTCTGCTCACACGCCTGTACCATCCATAGTATCCCTAATTGGCCTCCAGTGCAGTCTCATCACAGCTGTTACTGCTGCCGTTCGCTGCTGGTCAGTTAACCTCAGGTTCACACTGACCCCATGACCGACGGAACCAAACAATGCCCACCCTTGTGACAGTCTGCTAAACAGGCTTCAGCACTGCTTCCAGACTAAGACTACAATAGTCTTAGCTCCATCTGAAATTATCTTTGTTTACTTTTTACTGTTGGGCTCTCCCACCAGGAGGAAGGTTCATTTCTATTTCACCTGGTGAGTTCAGAGCCAACCACTTACTTAGAAGGACACTATCATCTAATTGAGGCCATGCAAAAGCCAGCTGGACTGGGGCATGGATCTAAAGCTGAAGAAGAAAAGGTCAAGAATTCAAATTCAATACCCAGAAATGATCTGTAATCCTTAAACTAAAACTCTCTCATGAAGCCATCATTAAAGTAGGCAACAGCTTAGCCCAATTAATAAAGAGCACACGGTTACTGGATAGAATTTTCTGAGTATAAACTGATGAAACAATATGGCAGCGACAGTGAGAATGGCGACCCAGTAAATATGCAACTGATGTCACCAACCTGTTCATGAAGAGTTATGAGTGAATGAATATTTGGCTGGGTATATTCTCACACACACACACACACAAAAGTATCTAAAGTTTCAAGAAATTCCTCATACTTTCTCACCTTCGACCTCATTTTAATTAACTTCTCTTTCATAAAAGTTTGGTGGGTTGCCCCACTTCTACCCACCACAGCTGTTCAAGGCAATCAAGGGGCCCAAGGATTGTGAGAATGAACCTAGGGACGCTCGCAGCCCTCAGGGATCAGTTAGCACCCAAAAGATGCTCTTCCTCAAGTGGATTATTTAAACATGGATCAAAACGGCCAGGCAACAAATCCACACTCTGCCTTATCCACACACACCCCGCCCCCCTCCTCCCTGTCACCCTGGGTTCTCAGGTAGAACAGGAAAACGAGGCGTGTGATTGAGAAAGCTGCAAAACTGCCCACGGCCACGGTGTTCCATACCTACTACACTTGTCTTGTGAACCTCTGGCTCAGTTCCCGAAAAAGAATCCGAGAGGTCATCAAAAAACTGCTCCATGTCCTTCAGTTCTCCTTCCGCCATCAGTTTGATTCTGTGGGTAAACAAGGAAGTGTGCGTTTTAATAAGTCCCTTTTCATGCCTCACAATGACCATCCCAAATGAGTCTATTTTAAAAAGCAATTCAGGTAACGGCCATTTCTAGTTCTTTTTTTTTTTTAAATCATTTTATTGGGGACTCGTACAACTCTTTATCATAATCCATACATCCACTGTGTCAAGCACATTTGTTGCTATCATCATTTTCAAAACATTTTCTTACTCCTTGAGCCCTTGGTATCAGCCCATTTCCCCCCCCCCCCGCCCTCCCCCTACCTCCCTCCCTCATGAACTCTTGATAATTTATATATTATTATTTTTCCATGTCTTGCACTGTCAGATGTCTCCCTTTACCCCCTTATCTGTTGTCCATCCCCCTGAGAGGAGGTTATAGGTAGGTCATTGTGATTGGTTCCCCCTTTCTCCCCCCACCTTCCCCCTACCTTCCTGGTATGGCTACTCTCAATAAACTCCCAAGGAGTTTATCTGTCCTGTATTCTCTGTTTCCTGCTCTTATCTGTACCCATGTACATGCTCTGATCTAGCCAGATTTGTACGGTAGAATTAGGGTCATGATAGAAGGGGTGGGGAGCATTAAAGAACCAGAGGAAAGCTGTATGTTTCATCAGTGCTACACTGCACCCTGAATGGCCTATCTTCTCCCCAAGACCCTTCTGTAAAGGATGTCCAATTGCCTACAGATTGGCTTTGGGTCTCCACTCCATACTACCCTCCATTCAGATTGACATGATTTTTTGTTCTGGGTCTTTGATGCCTGATATCTGATCCCATTGACACCTCATGATCACACAGGCTGATGTGCTTCTTCCATGTGGACTTTGTTGCTTCTGAGATAGATGGCTGCTTGTTTATCTTCAAGTCTTTAAGACCCCAGACACTACATCTTTTGATAGCCGGGCACCATCAGCTTTCTTTACCACATTTGCTTATGCACCCATTTGCCTTCAGTGATCGTGGCTGGGAGGTGAGCATCTCAGAATGCCAGAATATTAGAACAAAGTGTTCTTGCATTGAGGGAGTACTTGAGTAGAGGTCCAATGTCCACTTGATTTCCTTTCTTTAGGTTGGTGTGGCCTTTAGTCCTCTGATGATAACTACTAGTCACTGGGGGTTATTTAAATTTAAATCACAATTAAATAAAATTAAGAATTCAGCCCTCCAGTTACATCACTCACACTGCAAACCCTCAATAGCAACATACAGCTAATAGCTACCATGTTGGACAGCACCAATATAGTGATTTCTACCACCATTTAGTTAAAAAGCCATTCAGAGGTTCACATGTAACAGTGATGCATACAGCAAACTTGATACTCCAAACGGGACTCTCACACTTCTGAAAAGCCATCGTCGCTGGAGTGCTATAAAAACTTTATAAACCCCCCCCAAAAAAAAAAAACTTTATAAACCCCCCGGAGCCCGAGCAGTGTGAAAAAGAGGCGAGAAGGACCCCCAGATTGACCAGAGCCTGCGCGCCGCTGCATCCCCTCGTCCAGCGCCTGTGCCCCGCCGCCATCACCACCATGCCCAAGAGAAAGGCTGAAGGGGATGCTAAGGGAGATAAAGCCAAGGTGAAGGATGAACCTCAGAGATCAGCAAGGTTATCTGCTAAACCCGCTCCTCCAAAACCAGAGCCTAAGCCGAAAAAGGCCCTGCGAAGAAGGGGGAGAAGGTACGTAAGGGAAAGGGGAAAGCTGGTGCTGGCAAGGACGGGACCCACCCTGCGGAAAATGCAGACGCCAAAACAGACCAGGCACAGAGAGCTGAAGGTGCTGGAGATGCCAAGTGAAGTGTGTGCATTTTTGATAACTGTGTACTTCTGGTGAGTGTACAGTTTGAAATACTATTTTTTATCAAGTTTTATAAAAATGCGGAATTTTGTTTTACT